AGCTGAGCTGTTTCAACTCTTAAAAGATGATGACGTTAAAGTGCTACAGTCAATATGCCAGCAAATTTGGAAAACTTGGCAGTGGGCACAGGACTGTAAAAGGTCACTTTTCATGCCAATCTCAAAGAAGGGCAATGCCAAAGAATGTTCAAACTATCCCACAATGGCACTTAAATCACATGCTAGCAAGTAATGCTCAAAATCCTTCAAGCTAGGCTTCAACAGTACATCAACCGAGAACTTTCAGATGTACAAGCTGAATTTAGAAAAGGTAGAGGAACCAGAGATCAAACTGCCAACATCCACTGGATCATAATGAAAGCAAGAGAATTCCAAGAAAACATCTAGTTCTGCTTCACTGACTATGTTAAAGCCTTTCACTGTGTGGATCACAGCAAACTGTGGAAATTCTTAAAGAGATGGAAATACCAGACCACCTTACCTGCCTCCTGCAAAACCTGTATACAGGTCAAGAAACAATAGGTAGAACTGGACATGGGAGAACAGACTGGTTCCAAATTGAGAAAGGAGTACATCAAGGCTACATACTGTCACCCTGCTTATTTTAACTTAAATGCAGAGTACATCATGTGAAATGCCAGACTGGATGAAGCAGAAGCTGGAATCAAGATTGAAGGGAGAAATATCAATAACCTCAGATATGTAGATGACACCACCCTTATGGCAGAAAGTGAAGAAGAACTAAAGAGCCTCTTGATGAAAGTGAAAGAGGAGAGTGAAAAAGTTGGCTTAAAGCTCAACATTCAGAAAACTAAGATCATGGCATCTGGTCCCATCACTTCATGGCAAATAGATGGGGAAACAGTGGAAACAGTGTCAGACTTTATTTTTGGGGGCTCCAAAATCACTGCAGATGGTGATTGCAGCCATGAAATTAAAAGACGCTTACTCCTTGGAAGGAAAGTTATGACCAACCTAGATAGCATATTAAAAAGCAGAGACATTACTTTGCCAACAAAGTCCATCTAGTCATAGCTATTGTTTTTCTGGTAATCATGTATGGATGTGAGAATTGGACCATGAAGAAAACTGAGCACCAAAGAACTGATGCTTTTGAACTGTGGTGTTGGAGAAAACTCTTGAGAGTCCCTTGGACTGTAAGGAGATCAAACGAGTCCACCCTAGAGGAAATCAGTCCTAAATATACATTGGAAGGACTGATGTTGAAGCTGAAACTCCAATACTTTGGCCACCTGATGTGAAGAACTGACTCCTGATGCTGGGAAAGATTGAGAGCAGGAGGAGAAGGGGATGACAGAGGATGAGATGGTTGGATGGCATCACTGACTCAATGGACATGAGTCTGATCAAGCTCTGGGAGTTGGTGATGGACAGGGAAACCTGGAGTGCTGCAGTCCGTGGGATAGCAAACAATCGGACATGACTGAGCAACTGAACTGCCTGGTTGAAGGAGAACATATGATAAATAGAAGCCTGGATTAGATGTCAACTCCATAACTAACTGTGTTACCTTAATATATCATTTGAATTGATGATAACAGGAATTGTAATGTCTAATTGGACCATATCACAGGGATTGTAGAAGAAAACTTAAAATAGTGAAAATAAGACCATTTTCAAAAATATAAACTGCTTCATGGAGAAGGATAAGTAGGAAAGTGACAAAGATGATGATAGTCATCACCAGCATGATCATCTTCTGCAACATGGTGCTTTGTGGATCCCAAAGTCCAGAGAAAGTAATCCAAGTTTGACAAAATTTTAGGAAACAGAATACCATTGACCATAGAACAGGACACTGTAAAATGCATTGTATGGCTCTATGATGAGAACACCCATATCTTGGCCTGTGATCAGAAAGCACCATAGGAGAACTTTCTAGAAAATCTGGCTTATCTTTACATCCTCCTGTGTGAGATTTTATTCCCAAGGGCAAGGCCTCATCTCCCAATCTTCACCCCTGGAGACCCAGAGCTCACAAGCTCCCTTTTGGTGTCTTGGTTCCCAAAGAGAGAGAGTGGAAACCATTGTTGGTGTCTTCTTGGCACACCTCAGGTAGCCCTTCGAGATGATCTGGCTTTGGAAGACAGAGGGAGCCTGGTCAGGAGGTCCTGAAGCTTTGGCCAGAAAAACCTGGATGCTGAGGACCAGAAAGGACCTCAATGCATCACTCAAACCTCAGCTCAAGAAGCCCTGGGGACCTGAAGCAGTGAGAGGAGGGGAGGCCCGGGGGATGTTTGTCAGGGAAGGGGTCCTGATTAGACTGTAAGGAGAGATGGGGTGTGGGTGCAGTGGGGGCAGCACAAAAAACAGGATCCATGCTCAAGACCAGAATTGCTCACATTTTTTGCCCATGGTTACTCTTTGTCAGCAAGTTTATATCTCAGAAGGGACATGGAAGGCGTGGTGTCCGCACAAGAGTCCTCATGAGCAAGGGGCTCTCTGCAGGATTTGGTGGAAAGTCCTGCCTCTGCTCATGGACTGGACAGGCTCTGTCCATCCCACCCTTCCATTCTCTTTCCATTTTGTTCCATTTTATCACATTCCTTCACACCAATATTCACTAAGCACCTTCTATGTGTTCAGCTCTGGGCAGTTGTGTTTATAAGAGGAGATCTCATCCTAATTGGGGGGGGAGAGTCTCATCCACAGGACATAAATAGAGGGTAAAATAAAGCAGCGATTCGTGTGGGACCCAGAATGCATGAAGCAGAAGTCAGGGTCTCGGTGAGGAGAGCAGCAGGAAGCCGGCCTGTGTGACGGGGGCTGGCGAGGTGAAGAGGCAGCTGATAGTTCTTCAGGGAGGAGGGCCCTGCTGGGGGTTCTGAGAATCTCAGACTTGAATCCCTCCCCACCCCCCCCCACCCCCTTTCTGCTTCTCTGTACATCACCCTGCCCTGGCCCTGCAGGGAGGGCAGAAGGAAGACCACCCAGTTAGAACAGGTGCGAAGTTCAAGTCAGTGCCCTGTGTGGATAAAGCAGGGCTGCCACCCCATTCTGTGCCTGCCCCCCTTCATCTCCTGTGTATGTCCTTAAACCACCTTTACATCTCCTGCTCACTGATGCACTTCTCACTGAAATTTCAGAGATATAAGTGAAAATGGAGTGGAGGGAATTCGTGTTTTATTAGAACTCTGAGCAGTTTGTAATTCCCTTAATGAATGAAACTGCATGGAGAACTAAATAACAATGAAATACAACTTTTGGACTAAGCTACAGACAGTGTGTTAAAAAGCAAAGATACCTCTTTGCTGACAAGGATCTGTATAGATAAGGCTATGGTCTTTCCAGTAGTCACGTACAGCTGTGAGAGTTGGACCATAAAGAAGGCAGAAGCGGAATAATGGATACTTTCGAATTGCGGTATTGGAGAAGACTCTTGAGAGTCCTTTGGAAAGCAAGAAAATCAAACCAGTCAATCCTAAAGGACATCAATTCTGAACACTCATTGGAAGGACTGATGCTGAAGCTGAAGCTCAATACTTTGGCCACCTGGTGTGAAGAGCCAACTCATTGGAAAAGACCCTGATGCTAGGAAAGACTGAGGCAGGAGGAGAAGAGGGCAACAGAGGATGAGATGGTTGGATGGCATCCCCGACGCCATGGATGTGAACTTGGGCAAACTATGAGTGATGGTGAGGGACAGGGAAGCCTGAGGTGCTGCTGTCCATGGGATCTCGAAAAGTTGGACATGAGTTGGTGACTGAACAACAACAACAGCAGTATTTAGATGAAAATTCATAATCTTCAATATGTATATTGAAATATAAGAAGGCAATAAAAAAGAAGAGCAGAGTAAAACCAATGAACTCAGAAGAAAGGATATAATAAAGAAAGGAACAGAAATTAATGAAATATAAGACAGCACAAATAAGCATATCAAAATTTGAAAATGAAAGATAATTCTTTGGAATGACTGACAAAGTTCTGCTAATACTGATTGCAATGAAAAGGACAGTGAACACAATAAAAATACTAAGCATTATAAAAAGGATTTCAGCTATGTATTCAAGGAGATTAAAACATTTTTTTAGAGAATTCTGTGCCATAAATTTTTATGGCAATAAATTTGAAAATATAAATGAACAGATGATAATAAAAAAAGATAAATAAACAAGCTATAGAATTTCAGGTAGCAAAGAAAGCAATGGCATTATTAATTGTATGGGAAGAAATATTTTCTTGATATTTCTCAAATTGTATCTTTAAATATCTGATTCTTTTAAATTTTTCTAGAAATCTAGACAAACCAATGGTAAACAAGACCAATGTATTAAGAAACATACTAGAGATAATGCATGCATTTGCAACAATTACTTTTTTAAAGCAAAGCTTTCTTTTTTTTTTGTCAAATTATTACCATCCCTCAAAAGTGTCCCCTTTGGGCTATAGCCTGTGTTCTAACCCTCTTTCCACTTCCCACAACACGTTTGAAACTTTTCCTGAAACATCGACTTTAGAGTTAGGGATCCTAAAAGAGAATTATTCTTTTTATTTTATGACTACCTCTTATAGCTTTACCATTTACCTTAATCACCAGATTGGGCATTTTTGAAAATTAAAATTCATTCTCAGGTCAAGCTGTGATCCCTGGAACAGTCAGGAGTTTTGCTGCAGACACACTACAGGCTTGGCAGGACAGGACTCCTACACAGGTGTATTTTACTGGTGAGATCCGAGAGCCCCTGGTGCCTGTGGCTGTACCTTTGGTTGGAGGTGACAGCTGGTCAGATAGGACTGGGCAGAGAGGGATCCAGAAGACAAATGTCCTCATCTAATTCTCTGACTCCCATGGATCCTCTGTTGTCCTCCTCACTGGTGGTGTCTGAGAGAGAGTCAGAGAATATTGCTCCCCAGGATGTGGTCCCTGGCAGGGCCAAAGGACCAAAAAGGGAAGAAAGTGGATCTGCAGGGGGAAATGGAATATTCTGGCACAGAGCAATCTGAATTTATAGGCAGAAGAACTTTAAGCCAGCACCTAGAAAAGGAAAGTGGAGACAAATAAGACAACTGTTTTTGAAACGGGCCTTTGGAATTATTGTTTATTTGAGGCTATTACAAATGTTATTATTTGTCTTTTTGTTCATTTGTTGGGTAAAAAATATACTAAAATAGATTTAAGGGTATATAGTAAAAAGTAAGTTTCCTCCCACCCCCAATTCCCAGAATCTGAAATTCCTTTCCCCTGTGGCAAGCAGAGGGGCCAATATTTAAAGAAATATTTTGTATATATGCATAAACATACATTACGCCTTGTACTAGTTATCTACTGCTGTGTAACAAATTACCCAAAACTTAGTGGCTAAAAACAACAAACATTTATCATCTCATCTCTCACCAACCAGAGAACAATGCTGCTGGGGGGGGGGGGGGGGATGGAAGCTTTGCTGACATTTACACAATATTCACAAGGGGCCTGTGTAATGTGTTTCACAGGTAGTGCCAATGCTCAATGCAAGATGCGTTTCAGCTTTGTAATTCCTTTCATTTGAGTCTTTGAACCATGTCCAATGAATCAGAGCTCAAACTAAGCAATTTTTTAGTTGGTATTTGTTGGAGGGGAGGCAGTCATGGAGAGCAATAGGGAGTGAGCTGGAGAGATGCTTTGCTAACCATAGTAAATTGTGAGAAAATAGTTACTTCTTGAACAAAGGAAATATTCTTGAAAGAAGCTTCATAATTTCACCAAATACATGGCTAAATATATTGTCTTGAGCCTCCTTCCTAATGTTTCTTAGTTTTTCTTCATATTCCATCTTTAGTAATTTAATTTTCCCCTCTTTTTCCTGCATAATCTTCTCGCATGCTTGAACACACTCCTTTTCCACTTTTTGGATTTCTATTTCTAATTGATCAGCATATCTTTTATTCAAGACTTCCTCCAGCTTTCTCAGGCTTTCCAATGCGCCCTTGTATTTGGGGTCAGAAAAGTAAGTCCCTTGGTTGTTCTGCACCATTTTGTCTATCAGCTCCAGCAGCTCCTGCACCTGAGCTTCCCTCTCAGCTTGCTCTGTGTTTCTGCTGTTACTGATGGCATAGCAGCGGTCTCCACACTCCTGGAGGAAGCTTCGTAGGTTTACATCTGCATGCTTCAAAAAGTCGCTCAGGCTCTGGTCCCCCAGTTCATCTCTGCGAGTGAATAAGATGATCATATACTTCATGGCTGCTTTCCCAAACAGAGTCTTGACCAACGCCACGGTTTGCTGCTCTTCCTCTGTGTAGCGGCCCAGCCTCAGGACCAAGACGATGGCGTGAGGCCCAGGACAGGAGACGAGGACACATCGGCTGATTTCCTTGCAGGTTTTGTCCTGGGTTCTCTTGGTGTCAAAGAGCCCTGGGGTGTCAACAACGAGAAGCTCTCTCCCCTTCCATTTCCGGGATGCTTTCTGACAAGTTTTGGTAACAGCGTGGGCAGCAATCCTAGAGTCGAATACTTTTTCCCCCAGGATGGCGTTTGCAGTAGCACTTTTCCCACTTTTGGTCTTCCCGACCAGCACGATCCTCAGACTGACGTCCTGGGCGGCAGCCATGTCCACATCAGAGGCTGTGGAGTGTACGCGAGTCAGCTATAGTTTACAAAGAAAAGAAAAAAAGTGTTTAGATTAAGTTGAAACCATTCCCAACCCTGATTTCTTACTCTACTGAATATATAAATCATTCCAAGTCTTCTAAGCCAGGTGAAGTATTTTCATGGAGGATATTCGTTCTTTGATATCTTCTTTTTATTATTCTAATTCCCACTAAATGCCTCTCCTGTGTTGCTGTGATGCAAGTAGCGTTTGAATGTTTAAATTTTTTTTTACCATAATTTTTTTTTCCCATTTAACAAAGTAATATATACATTTTGTTTTCAAAAAAGTCCAGGTTTAAAAATTGAATTTGAGGAATCCTGGGGGCAGTAGTTAGCATCCTGTCCTATGAAAGAGTACTCATTAAAAAGCAGTAGTAATCTAGACTCAAACAGAAAGAAAGCATGGATGGAGGAGACAGCACAACAGTCCCACATGGAGACTCTCAGTATGGAAGGAAAGCAACCGCATGGTAAGACATGTGAAAACTGCCCTGAAATTTGCACATGACACATAGAACTAACCTTGTCTTATTTCTCAAATTGCACAAAGGAAGATAAACATGGTGTTCTTATTGTAAAAGTACTCTAATATTTAGAAGCAATAATGGGTGCCTTATGATTTATTGTAACATAAAATGTTTGAAGTGGGTTTGATGGTCATCAGGCTACATAGTTGAGACAATAATCCTGCAGTGACTGAGAAAACAGATCTGCTAATGTTGACATTTAAAATTACATACATCTGTTGTGGGTAAATAGTGCTTATCAATATTGACCCTCACCAGATGGTCAATACTGAAATCAGATTGATTATATTCTCTACAGCTGAAGATGGAGAAGCTCTATACAGTCAGGAAAAATAAGATCTGAAGCTCTCTGTGGCTCAGGTCATGAGCTCCTTATTGCAAAATTCAGGCATAAATTGAAGAAAGTAGGGAAAACCACTAGACCATTCAGGCTTGACATAAATTAAATCCCTTATAATTATACAGTGGAGGTGATGAATAGATTCAAGGGATTAGATTCAGTACACAGAGTGCCTGAAGAACTATGGACAGAGGTTCATAACATTGTACATGAGGTGATAACTGAAACCATCCCCAGGAAAAAGAGATGTAAGCAGGTAAAGTGGTTGTCTGAGGAGGCCTTACAAATAGATAAGAAAAGTAGAGCACCAAAAGGCAAAGGAGAAAGGGAAATATAGACCCAACTGAATGCAGAGTTCCAGAGAATAACAAGGAGAGAGAAGAAAGCCTTCTTAAGTGAACAATGCAAAGAAATAGAGGGAAAAAATAGAATGGGAAAGACTAGAGATCTTTCCAAGATAACTGGGCTTCCCTGGTGGCTCAGACAGTAAAGAATCTGCCTGCAATTCAGGAGACCAGGATTTGATCCCTGGGTCAGGAAGATTCCCTGGAAAAGGAAATGGCTACCCACTCCAGTATTCTTGCCTGGAGAATTCTATGAGCAGAGGAGCCTGGTGGGCTACAGTGGATTACAGTCCTGGGGTTGCAAAGAGTTGGACATGACTGAATGACTTTCACCCACAAGGGGATATTTCATGCAAAGAAGGGCAAGATAAAGGGCAGAAATGGCAAGGATCTAACAGAACAGAAGAGATTAAGGAAAGGTGACAAGAATACACAGAAGAACTATACAAAAAAGGTCTTAATGACCCAGATAATCACATGGGGTCAGTCACCTAAAGCCAAACATCCTGGAGTGTGAACTCAAGTCGGCCTTAGGAAGAATTAATATGAACAAAGCTATGGAGGTGATGGGATTTCAACAGAGCTATTTAAAATTCTAAAAGATGATGCTGTTAAAGATCTGCACTCAATATGCTGGCAAATTTTGGAAACTCAGCAGTGGCTACAGGAGTGGGAAAAGTTTTCATCTGAATCCCAAAGAAAGGCAATGCCAAAGAATGTTCAAATGTCTGTACGATTGTGCTCATTTCACATGCTAGCAAGGTAATGCTCAAAATCCTTCAAGTTAGGCTTCAACAGTACATGAAGCAAGAGCTTCCAGATGTACAAGCTGGATTTAGAAAAGGCAGAGAAACCAGGGATCAAATAGCCAACAATGCTGGATCATAGAAAAAGCAAGAGAATTCCAGAAAAAAAACATCTACTGCTGCTTCATTGACTAGAGTTAAGCCTTTGAATGTGGATCACAACAAACTGAAAAACTCTTAAAGAGATAGGAATACAAGGCCCCCTTACATGTCTCTGGTTCTAACTGGTCAAGAGGCAACAATTAGAATCAGACATGGAACAATGGACTGGTTCAAAACTGGGAAAGGAGTATCTCAAGGCTGTATATTGCCACTCTATTTATTTAACTTCTGTGTAGAGTACATCATGTGAAATGCTGGGCTCAATGAATCACAAGCTGGAATTAAGATTGCTGAGAGAAATGTCAACAACCTCAGATATGCAGATGATGCCACTTTAATGGCAGAAAGTGAAGATGAACAAAAGAGTCTCTTGATGAGAGTGAAAGAGGAGAGTGGAAAAACTGGTTTAAAACTCAGTATTCTAGAAACAAAGATCATGGCATCCAAGTCCCATCACTTCATGGCAAATAGATGGGGAAAAAGTGGAAACAGTACCAGATTTTACTTTGGTGCGCTCCAAAATCACTGTGGATATTGACTGAAGCCACAAAATTAAAAGACACTTGCTCCCTGAAAGAAAAGCTATGACACACCTAGACAGCATATTAAAAAGCAGAGATATCACCTTGCCGACAAAAGTCTATATAGTCAAAGCTATGGTTTTTCCAGTAGTCATGTATGGATGTGAGAGTTGGACCATAAATAAGGCTGAGCACTGAAGAATTGATGCTTTTGAACTGTGGTGATGGAGAAGGCCCCTGAGAGTCCCTTGGCCAGCAAGGAGATCTAACCAGTCAATCCTAAAGGAAATCAACTCTGAATATTCACTGGAAGGACTAAGACTGAAGCTGAAGCTCCAGTACTTTGGACATCCTGATGTGAAGAGCCAACTCATTGGAAAAGACCGTGATGCTGGGAAAGATTGAGGGCAAGAAGGTGGTGACAGANCACCAGGTGCAAGCCATAAAATGTTAGCAGGCCTGAAGGCCAAATGATAAGAAAGACTCTTGTGAATGAAAGTATGTGGGTGACATCCTGTTTCTGTTGAAGGTCAAGTTGCTGTAATGTTTTGAGATGACCTGTGTGTAAGCAATCTGCACTTCCCCCAAAAAGAAGTTGTTAAGGGTATAAAGGGGCCGTGTGAAAATAAACTTCAGACTAAGCCCCGAGCTCTGTCTCACTCTCTCTCTCATTCGCTGACGCCGTTCATCCTGAGGGTTCCCCTGGATCCTGCTGGGGCTGGACCCCGGCAATATATTTTTTAAATGCAGCATGTAGGATCTTTAGTTATTGTAGTTGAACTCTTAATTGTGGTATGTGAGATGTATTTCCCTCACCAAAATGAATCTGGGTCCCATATATTGGGAGTGTGAACCACCAGGGACATTCTCAGAATCTGACAACATTTTAAAAAGGGTTACATCATAACCAAGTGGGATTTACTCTGGAACATTAGAGTGAGGGGGGAGGTTCAATAAGAGGAAAATTGCTATATTAATATAGCCTTTCAAAGTAAAAACATTTCATAAAATATGAATTGACACATACTTTCTTATCTATTTCTCTACTCATCCTGAGAGCCAGCAACTTACTTAATGGAGAAATACTTTCTCACTAAAACTATAATCATTCCACCTCACTTTCCAATGGTTTCTGTGATATCCATCAATGCAAATAGAAGAGAAAGTGATTATAGGCATGAGAATTAGGAAAAAAAAAAAAAAAAGGAGAAGCCAGATAGTAAATAACATCACTGAGTCTCTTAGAGTATTGGTGCACAAATAGGCCAGTGTGTGTGTGTGTGTGGGGGGGGGGGTGCAGAACAACAGAAAATCTCTACAAATGCTCATTTGCATAGGGAAATTCAGTATATAATAAAGGCAACATTCCATATCAGAGGAGAGAAGATGGACATTGTAATGAGAAGTATTGAAATAACTGAATAACCATTTGAAAAAGCATAAAATTGGATTCATTCCTCATACCAATGTAAGAAGTATCCCAAATTCATCAAGTATTTGTTAAAAACTATATTCTATTGAAGAAAGCAAACAAATTCTTTCAAAACATGAGAGTGAGGAAAACGTTTCTAAGTTCAGTTCAGTTCAGTTCAGTCGCTCAGTCGTGTCCGACTCTTTGCAACACCATAAATAGCAGCACGCCAGGCCTCCCTGTCCATCACCAACTCCCAGAGTTTACGCAAACTCATGCCCATCAAGTCGGTGATGCCATCCAGCCATCTCATCCTCTGTCGTCCCCTTCTCCTCCTACCCCCAATCCCTCCAAGTATCAGGGTCTTTTCCAATGAGTCAACTCTTCACATGAGGTGGCCAAAGTATTGGAGTTCCAGCTTCAACATCAGTCCTTCCAATGAACACCCAGGACTGATCTCCTTTAGGATGGACTGGTTGGATCTCCTTGCAGTCCAAGGGACTCTCAAGAGTCTTCTCCAACACCACAGTTCAAAACCATCAATTCTTCAGTGCTCAACTTTCTTCACAGTCCAACTCTCACATCCATACATGACCACTGGAAAAACCATAGCCTTGACTANAAAGCAGAAATAGATGTTTTTCTGGAACTCTCTTGCTTTTTCGATGATCCAGCAGATATTGGCAATTTGATCTCTGGTTCCTCTGCCTTTTCTAAAACCAGCTTGAACATCTGGAAGTTCTCGGTTCAGGTATTGCTGAAGCCTGGCTTGGCGAATTTTGAGCATTACTTTACTAGCGTGTGAGATGAGTGCAATTGTGGGGTAGTTTGAGCATTCTTTGGGATTGCCTTTCTTTGGGATTGGAATGAAAATGGACCTTTTCCAGTCCTGTGGCCACTGCTGAGTTTTCCAAATTTGCTGGCATATTGAAACTGAGCCCCAAATACAGATGCAATATGGAATCCAATTGATAAATTTGACTTTCAGTTTCTGGTTATATGTCAGAAGCTTGGAAGTAACTACTCCATCCTAAGAATAAGTGAAAGTTGAATGGACTTAAAAATTGAATTTTCTCAAATACTTCAGAGGTTGCTTTGAGGAGACAGGGTAAGGTGCTGCCCCCAAGACTGGGGAACAGACAGGCAAATACAGGGAGTCACGGCTCAGGAGAGCAGAGACTCACCATGGGCAAAAATGCTGGGGCAGCAAAACTGGGATTGACCAGTTCCTCGATGGTCAGTGTGGAGTTAAAATTCCAGGAGGATCCTGTCACAGAGTGACCCCACACTTTTGTGAATTTTACTTCTGGGAGCCCCACTAGGTTCTGATAGTAAATATCCAAAAAATCCCCTGGTGCTTCCTGCAGGGGAGGGGAAAAGAAATCATTTTGAAACAGGGCAAAGCATCTTGTTCTTCTCAACAAGGCCTGCCCTCAGAGGAAAGCAGTTAACCAGAGCCTGACCTGCTGGGGTTTAATCAGAGCCTAACTCACTTAGAGAAAGAAAAATATACCACTACAGTCAGTTCTAAGCCATTCACGTAGGAAAAGGGAAATACCCACCTCCAGTCCACTTGAATGCTCGAACCCGGAGTGGGGGAGAAAAATGCTTGTGACACTCACAGTCCAGAGGCAAGGTTCACTAGAACTGAGATGTGCTCGTAGGATGATGGACTATGTCCCCTCCCCCACCCCAGCACCACAGTACTAAAGGCTTCTTTACAGCAGAAGTTCTGTTTACCCAGGACATCATGTCCAGCTGATGAGAAAAATGACCAGACATACTAAAGAGCAAAAAACATAATTTGAAAAGACAGAGCAAGCATCAGAACTAGACATGGCAGGTGTAAACCAAACAAAAACACACAACCTATAAGTTAAGAATGATATTGTATTTGAGGAATTACTGAGGACTAAAGCTTGGGAGACACTCTCTCAGATGGATCTGAGGAACTGTTCCAAAGAGGGATTGAAGGAGACAGGATATATAGGAATCTTCATTGAAAACAAAACAAAGGAAAACAAAATGTATGGTCAAACATTAAAATATTACTTCTAATCACAAAAAGCCAGACACTCAAATTAATGATTATAGTGCTTTTCTACATATGGGAAATGCTAGAGTCTGGGCTCATTGAAACCATTCCTTTGATATGCATCTTAGCTATTTAGGGCCAGTATCCTGTTTTTCTCCAATCTAAATTTTCCTCAGGGCACACTGTCTGGGGCTGCAATGCTAATGACTTGATAGTGGGCAACATTTATTACTTATTGAAATGGCAGGCAAGATTTATTTGTCCACCCAGGGATCTTGGAATGATTAGACCAAGAATTCAAAACAACTAAGATGAATATTCTAGGGCTCTAATGTAAGAGCAGAAGGGCCATGTAAGCAGAGACATGAAATCCTAAGAATCAAAAATAAGTGTTTGTGATCAAAAATAGTGTAACAGAAAAGAAGAATGCCTTGGATGAGCTAATTAGATCAGCCCAGATTATAGTCTTCAGGATCAGTTTCTGCTCAAATAAACCAGGATCTCTTGGAGAAATGACTGATTTAAAATCTGAGGCTGGAAATGCATAAAAAGACCTTGGATCATTTTTATTGGATTTTTTTTTTTGTTTTTGCTTCCTGATGCAAACAAACTAAACTATAAATAAATTATGAGATAATCCATGAAATCTAATGAAAGGACATTTGATAAAATTAAAAATTTATACTACCTTTGATATTGTGGTTATATTTTTTAGAAAATAATCTTTCTATTTCTATGCATCCTAAAATATTTGCAGCCACCTTCTAGTGAAGTGTTGTGGTAATCTAGATGATAAGTCAGTAGGCAAAGTTCTAATCTTTCCTTGTCAACCTCTTTGAGCATTGCAGAGTCACCAGTTCTCTGGTATTTGGTTCTTTTTTCAGTGAATAAAGAGAATTAGAGTAGGTTTAATGGAATGCTGTCCAAATTGCTTTCCAGTTCTGAAGGTCTGCCTTGGGGTCACTAACCTGTATTGAAGGAAAACAACAGGTTTCCAGGTAACATTATCACAACATACACTGGCTAAAAAGTACACTATGAAGACAGGCTCAGCCCCACCTAACAAAGAATAAGTGTACAATACATTACCTATCCTATGTTCTAGCCTCTGGCAACCACCACTCCACTCACTGATTCTATGACTTTGACTATTTTGTATATAAATGGAATCATAGAGTATTTGTCTTTCTGTGACTGGCTTATTTCATTTAGCATACTGTTTTCACATTTCATTTGTATTTTCTCATATGGCATGATTTTCCTTTTTTAAGGTTGAATAATATTCCACTGTATGCAATTTTCTTTTAATCCACTCATCTGTTGATGGATATTCAGGCTGTTTCCACCTCTTGAATATTGGGAATAGTGCTCTAATAAATATGGAAATGCTAGTGATTCTTCAAGATTCTGATTTCAATTTTTTGAATCAATGCCCAGAAGTGAAATTGCAGGATCATTTAGTACTTCTATTTTTAATTTTTTGAGACACCTCCAGACTGTTTTATGGTTAGAGCTCATCTTAAGTGTTCTTACCATAATAAAATAAAGTTAAAAAAATTAAAACTATGAGTAATGTGGTAGTTATAGCAATGAGTATAGGACCATAGGACTGAGAGGGAGAACACATCACAATACTATATAATTAGAAAACAGAAAGTTATAAAAAACAAACAAACAAAAAAGCCCAATGCATCAGCTGGGCAAACACCACTCAGAAAATGAAAAAGGAAGAAGTTAAACAAAAATGTTTGTGCACTATTTCTCTACACATAAATGAATATGATACATAAAAATGGAATCAAATCACAGGAGAACGTAACCCAATGTAAAGAATATTCCTTCATGTGCTTTAGACTATGAAAGACTATAATTAGAATATAAACTCAAAAACAAAATTCCAAAGAGGAGATGTTAGAATGAAGAATGAGAAGAAAATGCAGACTCAAAGAAACAAAGTGAAGATGAAAAGTGTAAACATTTTAGGACCCATAAATGAGTTAGAAGCAAAGAGGTCAGAAAAGATATAACTCAAAAGTAAATGTCTTATTAATAGGAAAGCCTTAGTAAGAAACACAACAAATGAAAATCTGAAAGACCAGAAGATTCAACAGTTAGAGAACAACTAAAATGTGAGTAGGAGCAACAGCAAATCCTACTTAAAAAGTATCACTATTGCTGACGTTAACAAATCAATAAATAAAACCCAGGAAGCATAATCCAGCAGTTTCCCTGAAATGGGAAAAATAACCCCCTCAAAAATCTAACTCTTTAGGAAAAAGAAGACTACATTTCATTCCCTGGAAACTTGATGTAGGATATTTAACACTGAATTCTCATTTGATATGACATACCACATTCCAAGCACAAAAAAGGAATTCTCAAGTTACTCAAGGAAAAAAGTAAATAATAAGGGGGTTGGGTTGGCTTCACAACTTTCTATAAGCAACACAGAAACAGTAGAAACAGTGGTTTCATAACAGAATGTTAAGATTCCTGGAAAATGTAAAACTAATACATAATACATAATAATAATACACAACAAATAGTAGGAGGTTGGAGAAGGAAGATTAAAAAATGTCTGCAGTTTTTTCACTGTCTAATGTCTAAAAGGAAACCACTAGGTATTTTTCATAAGTTTTTAGTCCTGAAAGATCTTTATCAAGGACCAAGGTCAGGCTCTGAATATGAATGCATGCATGTTATAAACTAAGGATGACCTCTAGCTTGTCCTGTTGCTTTTGACTTGCTTTGCTCCCAGAATACACATGTGAAATTGGACATATTTTCAAGAGAAAGAAAATGACATCACAGTATAAATTCATTTATTAGGATTGCATTTATTACTCTTCTATAGGGGTTGGCAAATTTGAAAAGGACCAGCAGTAAATACAATATTTTAGACTTTGTAGTCACAGCCAGTCAAATCTGGTTGGAACACAAAAGTGGCCCCAGACGACAGTAAACTAGTAAATGGATTAGGTAGCTCTGTTACACTGCAACTTTATTTACAAAGAGGTGGCAGGCTGTATATGGCCTATGGAGGGCAGTTTGTGCACTCTTGCTCCAGAGTCAGAAATTTGTGTATATCATGCAGAAAAAAAAATGTTTTAAGTGTTAAATGTTCTAAAAACACTAACCTTTTGTGATAAATGTTATTTTGTGATAACATGCATTTTGTGATAACATGCATTTTGTGATAAATGCATTTTGTGATAAATGTTCATCACTAAAATATGGGCACATTTTTGTTTTCACTGAAAACTCAGTGAAATAGAGAGAAGTCTGCAAAGAGAATAAATAAAAATTATATATAGCTCTACTCTCAAATTAGAGGCTATTTCTTATGAACATCTTTCCTTCCTTTTGTGTGTCTTGTTTTCTAACGGTAACATATTAATGATTTTATATCATATTTATACCTAATATTATATCATAAAGACTTTTGAAAACAACTAAAACTTTTGTAAGCAAAAAACAAAATACAAACCCTGTCCGGTTAAATATGAGATGTGTGGACATCACATGAATAAATCCCTCAGCTTCCCCTCCTACAACCTTTCCACTCCCACGCAGGCCCCTATCTATTCCTCTGCCCTCTGCCCGCTCCCGCAGCCCTCTCACAAGCTCCATTGCTCTCGTCTTGGCCAGTCTCACCTTCTCTTGCAGAACTGGTGAGATCTCAGCTTCTCTCCAGGAAAGCTACCCGAACTGGTATTTGCTTTCATTTGACAAAAAGTGTGTTCGTTCCCTCTGCAGTCTCTGACCACGGGAAGCTGAGGTTGGGTGGAGTGATGAAGACTACGTTTTGTAGTCAAATATAAAGAGAAAGCATTTCCCAGTAATGTGATTGGTGCTTCGGTGTTGCCTCGCAGGGACCTTTACTTCCATGTACCTGCTGAACTACTAAGATTCCAAAATCTGAATTATTGCTTTAGATTATAGTGTTGGCTTCAGAAAACCCATTGAAGTGGCCCTGATTTTCAAAAAGACAACTAAACTTGCTTCATAATGTTTCGTTTCAGGTGTACAAGAAATCAATGTATATAGGGCTTCCCTGGTGGCTCAGACAGTAAAGAGTCTGCCTGAAATGCAGGAGACACAGGTTTGATCCCTGGATCGGGACGATTCCTTGGAGCAAGGCATGGCAACCCACTCCAGTATTTTTCCCTGGAAAATCCCATGAACAGAGGAGCATGGTGGGCTACAGTCCATGGGGTTGCAAAGAGTCAGACATGACTGAGTGACTAACACTTTCACTTTATATATATATGGTTATATATAGGTTAAGATTATATATAATAACCATTATAGGTTAAGCTATTGTATATAGTTCCCTGAGCAATACAGTAGGTCCTTGTTTATCTATTTTATATACAGTAGTATCTATCTGCTAATTTATCAAACTCCTAATTTATCCCTCCCCACCATCCCCTCTGGTAACTCTGTTTTCTATGTCTGTGAGTCTATTCTGTTTTGCAAATAAGTTCATCTGTATTTTAGAGTCCACATGTAAGTGATAATATAAAATGTTTTTCTTTCTCTGACTTACTTCACTTACTATGATAACCTCTAGCTCCATCCACGTTTCTGCAAATGACATTATGTCATTCTTTTCTATGGCCAGCAGTCCATTTTATATATATATGTAATGAACATTTAGGTTTCTTCCATGTCTTTGCTATTGTAACTAGTGCTGCAGTAAACACTGGATGCATGAATGTTCTCAAATTTGGGTTTTTGTCTTTTCCAGATATTCAGGAGTGGGATTACAGGATTACATGGCAACCCCATTTCTAGTTTTTTAAAGAACCTCCATACTGTTTTCCTTGTGGCTGTACCAATTTACACTCCCACCAACAGTGTAGAAAGGGTCCCTTTGTTCCACACCCTCTCTGGTATTTGCATTTTTGGAGATGGTGAAATGATCTAAATTTTGCTCAGTATAGTATCTGCTATGATCTGCCACTGAGACCCACCCCCACCACAGCTTCAGGACTGAAGCCCCCAGTCTCCTTGCTGACAGGAGTGTTCCATTCAGTCGCTCTTTGCCTTTTCACACAGTTCACGGGAGTCTCAAGGCAAGAATACTGAAGTGGTTTGCCATTCCCTTCTCCAGTGGACCGTTTTGTCACAACACTCCACCACGACCAGTCCTTCTTGAGTGGCCCTGCACAGCGTGGCTCATAGTTTCACTGAGTTAGACAAGGCTGTGATTCACGTGATAAGTCTGGTTGGTTTTCTGCGATTGTGCTTTTCATTCTGTCTGCCCTCTGATGGATGAGGATAGGCGGCTTGGGGAGGCTCCCTGATGGGAGAGACTGACCAAGGGGTAATCTGGGTCTTTTTCTTACGGGCAGGGCTGACGCCCTCCCACAGCCTTAAGGCATCCCCTCAGGGTTATCCTCAGCTGAAGAGATTCCTCTCTTCTGAGATGCGCCCCCCCCACCCCCCCAGGGCACTCACATTTTAGGACTGGTCCCTGCAGAGGCACAGGGACCCCCGTTTCGGACCGGTCTGCCCCCACCCTCCGAGCTCCAGCGCCAGGTGATGGCTGCGGCCTCGTTGTGACTCATCACAGCCCAGCGTCTCCTTCCCCCCCGTCCTACGTCCTTCGGGGTCACACAGGTTTCCATCCCAAGAGCTCTCCTAAAGAAAGTTCACGCCTGCAGCATTTTTATCTCAGAATCTGCCCCTGGTGAACTCAGCCAGTGACACCTGTCCAAGCACACAGGTGTGATCTTCCTCCCCCAGTTGAGCGGGAAGCGGGGAAGAACTGGGGAGGTGGGGCCCCCTTAGCATCCTGCAGATCCTGTTGTGAACTCTGTGGTGCAACGTAGGGCTCCGGGCATTTTCTGGTGACTGCATCCTTTGAGATTATTTTAGTCCTTCTGGAAGCTGACTGTCCTTACAAGTGTACTTTCATACTTCAGAACCAACGTCCCTATCTAGAATACAAAACTAGAGTTACAGAGGCCTTAAAAAAAATCAGCATTGAATTAAATGCATCACTACACCTAGGAAGGTGTATGGGGAGTTTCATGATTTTTTTTTTTTCAGGCATGTTGTATTTTTTGGTCCATGCACTTGTGTGTGTGTGTGTGTTCATTAGTCACTTTTTTTTTTCAGTTTTGATTGTGTGTGTGTGTGTGTGTGTGTGTGTGTGTGTGTGTGTGTGTGTGTGAAGTATGGTGTTAATAGAGGAAAAGGGCTCATATAAGTTTACATCACACTGAATTTTCAGTTATTTTTGGTCCATGCACTTGTGTGTGTGTGTGTGTTCATTAGTCACTTTTTTTTTTCAGTTTTGATTGTGTGTGTGTGTGTGTGTGTGTGTGTGTGAAGTATGGTGTTAATAGAGGAAAAGGGCTCATATAAGTTTACATCACACTGAATTTTCAGTTGTCATAAACAACACAGCCAAGTAACAAGTACACAGTTCAAGGCACGGAATGTTGTTGGCACATCAGAGGCCCCGGTTATATCTTTTAGGGATGACCTCTTGCTGAACTTAGGATAACATAGATTAGCTTTAGCTATTGTTGTACCTTTTATCAATGAAATCATGCAGTAGGTATTCTGTTGTATCCGCCTCTTTTTTTTTTTCCTTACCACTATGTTTTGAGATGCATCCATGTTGTTATATGTAGCAATAAATCATGCAGTTTCACTGCTATGTACTATTCCATTGTATGAATAAAACCCACTATATATAATTTATAATGTGTGTGTTCTCAGTCGTATCCAACTCTTTGCGACCCTGTGGACTGTAACCTGCAAGGCTCCTCTGTCCATGGGATTCTCCAGGCAAGCATACTGGAGTGGGTTGCCATTTCCTTTTCCAGGGGATCTTGCCAACCCAGGTATTGAGCCTGCATTTCTTGTGTCTCCGCCATTGGCTTACTACTGAGCCACTGGGGAAGCCCAATAATTTATAATATAAAGTTATAATTTAGATAACCCCATTAATTTGGATCAGCTGCTTTATTCTCCTGGCTTTGTTGTTGTTCAGTCACCCAGTCATGTATAACACTTTACAACCCCATGAACTGTAGCATGCTAGGCCTCCCTGTCCCTCACCATCTCCCAAGTTTACCCAAGTTCATGTCCATTGCATCAGTGACCCCATCAAGCCATCTCATCCTCTGACACTCTCTTCTCCTCCTGCCCTCAATCTTTCCCAGTATCAGGGAATTTTTTAATGAGTCTGATGTTTGCATCAGATGACCAAAATATTGGAGCTTCAGCTTCAGCATCGGTCCTTTCAATGAGTATTCAGGGTTGATTGATTTGTTTGATCTCCTTGCTGTCTAAGGGACTTTCAGGAGTCTTCTCCAGCACCACAGTTCGAAGGCATCAATGCTTTGGCACTCTGCCTTCTTTACGGTCCAGCTTTCATACTGGTACATGACCACTGGGAAGAGCATAGCCCAGACTATATGGACTTTTGTCGGCAGAGTAACGTCTCTGCTTTTTAACACACTCTCTGGGTTTGTCATAGCTTTCCTGCCAAGAAGCAATGGTCTTCTGATTTCACGGCTGCAGTCACCATCAGCAGTGATTTTAGAGCCCCCAAAGAGGAAATCTGTTACTACTTCCACCTTTCCCCCTTCTATTTGCCATGAAGTAATGCAGCTGGATGCCATGATATCAGTTAAAAAGTTTTTTAAAAAATATTTTAGCTTTCAGCCGGCTTTATTGGGGGTATAAATGACAAATTATAATTATATATGTTTAAGGTACATGCAACTTGATGATTTGATACATAGTTTGTGAAATAGTCACCACAATCAAGCCAATTAACATGTATATCACCTCACATAGTTACCATTTCTCTTTCTTTCTGTTTTTGTGGTGAGAGGATTGACACTATGTCCAGTGGTTTGCTATCATGGGTATCCTGCTATAAATATTGTGGGAATTACATTTTGTTGGCAAGCACACATTTCTATTGCTTTGCACCTTGGGGTAGAATGGGGAAGGTTGACCATGTGTAATATTCAGGTTTCTGAGATACCACAGAGCATTTTCCAAAGTGGTTCTACTAATACACATTTTCACTAAGCATGGGAGAGTTCTGTTTGCTTCACATCCTCGGAAGTTTCTCAGAGTTTTCTTCATTAGATTTTTATGCAATTTTAAAGTTTATTCTCAGACTTTTTATTTTCTTCATTTTTATTGTTGTTGTTGCTTTAAATATCACAAGTTATACCTAATTGACAGTTGTTTGTATGGTAGACAATTTTTATGATTTTTATTTAATTTTGCATCCATCAGTTTACTAAATTCTCCTATTGTTCATAATAGTTTATCAGCTTACTCTGTTAATTTTTCCCAGATTTATAAACAAAGCGTCTACAAATAATGATAATTTCACATCCACCTTTACATTTTATACATGCAGTTTCTTTGTCTAGAAGAAATATTGTCTACAGTATAGATTTCCTCAAGAAAAAAAATTTAAAATAGTGTTAATAGTGAACATTCGAATCCTCCATACATCCTTAAACCTTCAAAATATTTATTGAAATCTTTTTATTAACAGAGTACACTCCTTGAAAAATCTTTTGGTTTCAGCTCTTTATAGCAGTTGCAGAGAATAAAGATGGGAATGTGGCATTCAAGTAACTGAAAAAGTTCTTCGAGGTCCAAGCATCAAATGAAAGAAAGATCCTCTGAGAAAATGAAGAGGAAAAAGTTGGAAGTGACTAATACTTGGCCAGTATCACCTAAAGGGGGAGAAGAGGCAGAAAAGCATAAAAAAATAAAAAAAAAAAGAAAGAAAGAAAAATTGTGATGCCCACAGCCCAGGAACACAGACCCACTGAGAGAGTAAGATTCAATCCCCAAATAATGCTTCCCTCCTCACTCCTTCCCACATCATAGGACACTGGATGAAAACAGTGAATAAAGAGGAGTGAACAGCAAGATACAAGTTCTATTTAAGAAGGGGCTTTAGGGAAACCCACAGACAACTGGGGAGACAAACAAGGGCACCAGAGGAGAATGACGCTCCAGCAAACATTAAACATAGCCCAGCTCCCAGCCAGGTCAACATAAAATCTCACACCACAGGCCAATTCACCTTAATTCCTCACATTTGATATTATCATGTCCGACTTTCAACAACACTGCAGGATGTGCTAAAGGCAGGAGAAAGCACAGAAAGCAAAGCTTAGACCCAGACTCTGATGTGACACAGATATTGGAATGTTCAGGCACAGAATGTGTGTGGATATACACAAATATAGAGAGACACTAATTGTAATGAATCGGCCGGTGTGGCTCATGGGATTATGGAGGTGACAAGTCTCAGGATCTAGGGTCAGCAAACTGGCGACCCTGGAGCCAATGGAGCGGCTGAAGGAGGAGCTGGGAGAGGGAGAGAGTTAGGTCATGATGGAGAAGACAGAGGATGTCTGCAGGAAGGGGAATTCTCAGAAAGGGAGGAAATCAGTAAAAAAAAAAAATCACTCTGCTGGCAGCACGTTTTCTGAAAGATCTGCTGCTTTGGTTTAAGCCTCTGAGTTCCACTTGTCCTAACGCAGGATAAAAGTAATAACAACACTCGTGTTCCTGTTTCCCCTGTTGACGTTACCAGTGAAGTCACTCAGTCGTGTCCCACACCTGTGACCCCATGGACTGCAGCCTGCGGGCTCCTCTGTGCTGGGGTTTTCCAGGTGAGAACACTGGAGGGGGTCGCCACCAAGCCTGCAGACAAGCGCAGCCCGCAGAGCTTTCTGCCTCTCGGGGCCTGGCTGGGGGCCAGGTGGCTCCCAGTGGCGGGCCAGTGGCTCCGCCACTTCCTCTTCCCTCTTCTCAAGGCTGAAGGCTGCGCTCTCAAGGGCAGTTCTTGAGCTGAGCCCCGGATCACGTATCACTGAAAACACATCCGCCATGTCCGCTGTGTGCGTACGTCTGGGGCAATGTCACTGACGTCCTCCATTCAGCCTGCGGTGTGTTATACTCAGAGGAGACACAGAGTGTTCAGGCGAGCGCACGGCCCCCAGAGACGCCAGACACGGGCGTTCCTCCCGCCCTACGGATCGCGGGGCAGTGAGTCCAAGGCCGTGGTGAGCGTGCCTGTGTGTGGGCGTCTGTGTGTGTGTGTGTGTGTGTGTGTGCTGGGCTTGAGAGCGTGTTGTGGGGGTGCTGTGCACAGTGTGTTTCTGTGTGTATGTGTTTGTATGTATACGTCTGTGTTGTGTTGGTGTGTATCTGTGTGTTGTGTCTATTTGTGCATAGATGAATACATGTGTATTTTCCGTGTGTGTTATGTTTGTATGTATATTTATATGTGTGTGTGTGTGTGTGAGTGGTGTGTTGTGTGTATCTTTGTATGTCTGTGTTGTGAATATACATATGTGAGTGGTCTCTGTGTCTTATGTTTGTGTTTGTGTGCTGTGTATGTATGTTCATATGTTTGTGAGTAAATGTGTGTTCATGTGTGTTGTATGTGTGTGCTATGTGTGTACTTTTGTACGTGTATGTGTGTGAGTTATGTATGTGTTGTGTTTGTGTGTATATTTTGTATGTTTCTGAGTGTGTGTGAGTTGTGTATGTGTTGTGTTTGTGTGTATATTTTGTTTGTATGTTTGTGTGTGTGAGTTGTGTACGTGTTGTGTTTCTGGCTATATTTTGTTTGTATGTTTGCATGTTTGTGAGTGTGTGTGTGTGAGTGTATGTGTGAGAGTGTCTGTGAGTGCCCCTGTTTCAGGAGCAATGGGAGGAGTCAGGGCAGTCAGGAGGACCTTGCAGCCTTTGGGCTCTGCCTGGAGCTCCCTGCTTACCCTCGGGCAGGACGCTCTGAGTCTCACTTTTCTCCTGGGAAACCTCACAAGGAGACAGATCTGCTCCATGTTGAGACAAACACTGTGGTGCGTGGCGCACGTGACAGTGATGCCCTGTCGGGCAGGGTCTGGGGTGACGAGGCCGGGGGCTGGGCAGTCAGCTCTCTGGGCTTGAGAGTGGATGACAGGAGTTCCTGGTGGGTGACAATGCCCTCCTTGGCAAAGAGGACTGGGAATTGCTCTAGAAAACGTAGTAAAATATCCTGGAATCTTCCAGGGGGACAAGATCTCAGGAATGTGTAGTTTGGACTCAGCATCCACATCTCTGGGGACACGGAGGCCCCAGCAGCGTGACCACTCAGCAGTCGGTGGCCTGGAGCTGAGTGCCAAGGACCCGGGGCTCCCGGCAGGACTGGACCCCACGTGGAGAGGGAGCCTCTGTGTGTCTGCTGCCCTCCTCACCCCCCAGCACTCAGCCTCTGCGGCCCCCACTGCCAGGCTCCCCCCACAGATCGTTCTGGCCCCATGAGCCCCTCACCAAACCCTCCAGCAACGTCCTGCTCACATCCACCCTGCACCCTGGCCACTGCTCCCAGGACAGTGTCTGTCAGGACGCGTCTCTGGTCATTTCTGCCCATCACAGAAACACCCCCCCCCCCCAAGTAGAGACCACGTGCAGGGGAAAGAAGGGGGAATCAGGGTCCCTAAAGGAGGTAGCGGGTATCTCAGACGCCGCCTCACCACATCCCATGCCAACAAACCGAAGCAAACAGCTTCCATGGGTTAGAGAAAGGCAAAAGTCAGGAGCCCCTGAAAGCTCAGAGGAAACAACAGTAGACACATTATGGTTTCTTTCTAGATGGAGGAAGAAGAATTCGAAATCCTTCTCCCGGAGGAACCTGAAGAAGGCGCATCCCAGGATCCTTCTCCAGGGGGGTCTGGAGGTAAAACAACTTTCTAGCCAACATGGACTTGAGAGAGGTGGGGCCGGGGCCTGAGGAGCAGGAGGTGTGCTGGGAGGGGCAGCGGGAATCCCCCCGGTCAGAGACTCGGCCACTGGGGTGGCCATCATGGGGCATTTGGGTTGGGCCTCCCTTCACCCCAGCCAGACAGAAGGGAAGGGCCCCTGATGGTGCCGTGGCTCAAAGCAGGCGACAGACCACAGCCACTGCCCCTTCACTGAGTGGCAGGAAGGATGTGTTCATGGGTGTGACAGACGGCTTGCCCCAGGCCCCGGGTGGGTGTCGCCCTGGCTCTGCTGTGAGACTCTCAGGACCACGGGGTCTGCAAAGCGCTAGTGAAGACATAGGATGCAGTCAAGGGCCTGCAGGTCTGGGCTCTGCCTTCCCAGGGGGCTCCCTCCCCCCAACAGCTGTTTCATCAGGGCCAGGGGCTTCGCTTTCATGGGCTCAACTTTCCATCTAACCTGGGGAGACAGAACTTAGGAATTTAGGAATGCTGGAAATCCATCACTTTCCTGGATAAAGGAATTGATTGCTAATTTATTATGCAGTTCCATGCACCGATGTTTTTATTTGAAAAACTTCAGTGGCCTGAGCCATTGGGAGAAAGCCATAATATTAAGCTGCATGGGAAAGCGATAATCCCAGTGTTCACACCTGATTTACCCTTTTTGCAGCAATCAGGGTTAAGTATTACTTTAAAATTCCTCTTCCATGCTCAATGTATTTGGCTTTTAAGTCCAAAGGTGTGGCATGAGTGTCCCCAGGCTTGCCCAGATGGGAAACCACTGTCTTCCTCCAGCTTTGCATTTGAGTACAGATGGACACTACCCTTCCCTGCTTCTGGGGAACTCCCAGTCATTCCCAGGTCACCTGCAGAAGCTGGAGGGAGGCGGTATCTTCCAGTCAGAGTTGGTGGGTGGGTCAGCCCACCAAGGCAGAAAGGCAGGAGAAACACAGCCCTGCTGGGGAGAGATGGAAGAAGATGGTGTCAGTCCTGGCCTCAAGAGGCTGAGGGCTCTGCACTGAGACACAGCAATGTCTTCCCTGGGAACAGGCTGGAAATCAGCTAGGGTTTGGTGCTTCTCTATGTGCTTTGGGTCTTGGGACCTGCAAGGCCAGGAGAAGGGAATTGCCTTTGTGCCCTCCAGCCGTGGTCATTTCTAAAATCTGGATGTGAGGTCCTCAGTATTAGATGGACATGAAACATCTACTCACAGCTGATGGTTCTGATATTCTCCTGGGTGAGGGTGTCCAGCCCAAACTTCAACGGTGGAGCTTAGGACTGGGACCCAGTGTGAGCTGTGCTGTGGAGCTGGGGGTCTGGCTGAAAGGACCCCACCCTCACAACACTCCTTGTTGGGCAAAGTGAAGGTAATGTGGTGTGTTCGATCACGGCAGGGAGAGGATGGACACAGAGGCCATGTGCTTCAAGCTTCACCCTCTTCCTGGGAAGGGTCTCCAACCAGAGGGACTCGAGGAAGCTCAGGCTCCCAGTTCATGAGGGGATGATCCCACCTGGTGGGAATAGGTGGCCCTAGAAGAAGTTTCAGAACAGAAGCATAAAATGTGGCGTTCTGCCATGTGATCCCACAATTCCACTACTGGGGAATATACCCCATAGAGTTGAAACAGATAGTGAATATATGTGCACTGAGGTGCACAGCAGCATTATTCACAATAGCAAAAAGTGGAAACAACCCCCCAACTCCATATATATATGAATATGGACTCATATATACACCTACACCTACAGTGGAATATTACCCAGCCTTAAAAAGGAAGGCAATTCTGACACTTGCTCCAACATGAATGAACCTTGAACACATTATGCAAAGCCAGACACAGTAGGGCAAAAATTGCCTGATCCAGTAATGTGAGGTCGTTAGAAGAGTCAAACACATGGAGACAGAAAGAGCAATGGATGTCAGGTGTTGAGGGAGGAAGGATGGGGCATTAGTGTTTAATGGGGACAGGGTGTCATGCGGGAAGATGGAAAGTTCTTGAGACGCCCAAGTGATGACTGCCCAGGAATGTGAATGTACGGAAGGCTACACCTAAACATGGTTCAAATGGTACATTTATGTTATGTATTTTCTACCTTAATGTTTTCCCCAAAAGTTAAAAAAGGAGAAAAGGAAGGAAAGCATATGAACCTAGGGCATATCTCAGATGCAGACGCTGGTCTTCCTTTGTCCTGCCCCCACCCGGACCATCTGCCCCCAGGGGAGGCTAAAGCGGGGGTCGGGCTCTAACCGCGGCCCCCCACCTTCTCTTGATGCTTCCAGGGCAGCGCGGGGATGAAGGGACCCCGCAGACGCTGAGGCTCATCCTGGTGGGAAAATCCGGGAGCGGGAAAAGCGCCACGGGAAACAGCATCCTCGGGAGGAGAGTGTTCGAGTCCAAGCTCAGCGCTCGCCCGGTGACCCAGGCCTTCCAGCAGGGGCGCCGCGCGTGGGAGGGGAGGGAGCTGCAGGTCATCGACACGCCCGACATCCTGTCCCGCTGGGAGGCGCCGCGGGGGACCGCTCAGGGCGTTGGCGAGGCCGGCGCCCGCTCCCCGCCGGAGCCGCACGCCGTGCTCCTGGTGACACAGCTCGGCCGGTTCACCGAGGAGGACCAGCAGGTGGCCAGGCGCCTGGAGGAGGTGTTAGGGGCGGGCATCCTGGCCCGCACCGTCCTGGTGTTCACGCGGAACGAAGACCTGGACGGCGGCTTGCTGGGGACATTCCTGCGGGAGACCGACAACCGAGCGCTGGCCGAGCTGGACGCGGTCTGCGCGCGGCGACACTGTGGCTTCAACAACAAGGGGGCCGGAGCCGAGCTGGAGGCCCAGCTGAGGGAGCTCATGGGGCACGTCGAAGGGGTCCTGTGGGAGCACGAGGGCCGCGCCTACAGCCTCCCGGCTGCCCCTGACCCCCGCGCCGCGCCCCGCGAGAGCTGGGGCCTCTGGCGGCCCGGCGCCGAGGAGGGGCGCAGGGACCAGGCCTGGCTGCGGGGCCTGCGCCGCATCCTGGAGGAGCCCGAGCAAGCTGGAGGCCAGCTCCCGCCGAGCGCGCCCACATGAGCCACACGCCTCCGCGGCTTCCTGCCTCCGGCTCCCAGACCCCTCCCTTGCCCGCTCCATCCCAGGAGTCCGTCCCTGGCCCCTCCTGACTCCAGGGCAGCGTCTGGTTAGGCGGGAGGAGGTGGGTGGGCTCCTGAGTTCTCAGGTCCTTCATCACACCTTCCAGAACACAGGGGCCCTCCTGCTCTGCGCCCCCCGCCCACCCTCACGTGTCTCTGGCGTTCCCTCTCTGCAACAGACCTCTGAGAGAAGCCAAGCCTCCTGAGGCGGGCCTGTGCTCCTTTCTGCTGTGGGACCCCGGCAGCATCCCGGCCACTGGAGGCTCGGCTTATAACTCGATGCAGATCAGCGTGGAATGTGGACTGGGCAACTCTGCGTCTCTTGGGCTGTGTCCTTGCCTGTTAAGAGGGCAGGCACGATGGCTTTTAGGGCCGAGCGCCATGTGGGGCAGGACAGGCTCAGGGCTGGGGAGGAGAAGGCAACTAGAAACGGGGGAGGGCCGCAAGGCGCTGCTCTTGATTCTCTCTTGAGAGAGGCCACCACCCGCAGCAAGGGAGCCCCATGGGAAGGAGCGGGACAGGACAGCGGTGTCCAGGGGCCAGATCTGCTCAGGAAACGGGCCTAGACCTGGCTGCAGGACACGGACTGCCCGGAGGTCCAAGCGGACTTGGGCAGCGGAGGAGCTCTTCCCAGGGAGGCCTGGACAAGGGAGGTCACACACCTGGCATCGCCCCTCTGATGCCCACCCTCCCACATGGAGAGCAGAGAGGAGACTCCCAGCCCCGCCTGTGCCTGACCTGCAACCAGTCCCTTCTCCCCTGAGAGAGGGGAGAAAGCGAGCAGCGTCTGGGCGTGTATGCGGGTTCCCCAGCCAGGTGTTTGGGGGTGTAGAATGGAGGGAGGAAGGAAGAAAGGGAAGCTGCAAAGAAAGAAGTAGGAGACCAGGTGAACGTCCTCGGGAGCAGCCTGCGGGCCTGGGAGAGTCCTGCAACTTGGGGTGTCATCTCGTCCTCACCCAGAGGACCCTGAGAAAGCTGGAGCAGGTCTTTAGCTACAAGGGTCTCGAGTCAGAACAGAGACACATCGGAGTATGCTTAAGATAGCCTTTGTGCCAGACTATTTACTAAGTAGGTGATCCATCTCCTGCTGAACTGAAACATAGTAGTTATCATATGTTAAATTTTCATATTCCATATGATTTCTGTGAGAATTTTTGCCTCTTCTTGTCTTCCATCTTCTCAATGTCTATATGAATAAAGTATTGACTTGATTTTTGTGGCTTTGATTGTAATGTGAACTCTCCCCCCCACCCCCGATTTCCTCCCCAGCCACCATTTTTGTATTTCTTTGTTATCTTCAGGCATGTATTCTTCTGTGTAAAAATTAAAATCGTTGAGTTTTCTAAAAAGAACATTGTTGTTATTCCAGTTGGAATTGTCTTATGTCTATATATTGAATTTGGGAGAATTGGAAGCAAGATAAGTCAGACAGAGAAGGTCAAGTACTGTGTAATATGTGGAATCTAAAAAGTCAAACCTGTTTAAAAAAAGGAAGAGAATGATGGTTACCAAGAAGTGGAGGCACAGGGGATAAGATTGGTGGTGTTTTAGGCACAAACTTGTCACAAGCACTAAAAAGCCATAGAGGTCTAAAGTACAGTAGATTGAATATAAGCAATAATATTGTAGTATAAGTATGTGATGTGCTAAAGATTGTTAAAATGACAACCAACTATGATATACCAGTCTACCAAAGTAACACTCAGCACACCTTAAACTTACACAATGTGAAAAGAACAAATTTAAAGTCACATTAAAATCTGAAACATAAAAACAACAACAACAACAAAAACTGGGAGAATCTGTAATTCCTCCAGGATAAGTGAAATAAGATCATTTTGTTTCTAAGTGAATAGACCCATTGCTTCATAGCCACTGAATTAACAGCTAAAATCATCCACATTTCCTTTAAGATAAGAAGATAAATATCTTTAACTTAGGTACTTTTGTTTTAACCCTGTTGGCTTAATTGATCTCATCCTAGAAAATACAAGTATTGCCAAATGACAGGCACTGTCACTCACAAACATCAAGTCACTAAACGGCAAATGGCAAGTCACTCAAAACATGTCATTCATTAAAAATTCTAAAGGAATTGCTTAAAATTATATGGAATATGGAGTTTTCTCTCCTTTGTTACTAAAAGTCAAGGAAAATCCCTCCCACAACATTTCAGAAGGAGGGGGAGTTGTTGCTTCACACCATCACTCCCTGAGCATCAGAGAACAGGGCAGGCATTGTTGGTTTATCCTGGAAACCCCATGGTCTGTGTACCAGAAAGAAAGAGGTGCTGTGGATGACGTCATGGGTAGGGGAAGGAGAGGGGGTTGTCTTGGCCAAAGTTATGAAAATAGTGACCTTGGGAATTCATTATTCTCAAAAAAAAATCCCTACACTGGAGCAAAGCACGAAAGAGAGAGATCTGGAGAATCCAAAGTGATCAGTGAGTCCATGGTCTGCTTCCTCCTTGGTGGGTCAAAGCAGTGGCTAAAAATCTCAGGGAAGTTTCCTAGCTCTGAATTCTCCTGTAATAACTTTCATACACTCTGTAGAAAATTCAAAATCATGAGAGTTTTTAAACAAGCGTTGGAAGACACTGCAAGGTGACCGAGGACAAGGAGAGGCTATAGGGAACCTGACGCCTCACTCAGGACCATGTGGCCATCACATGTTCGTGGTTCCCCCGAGCACACGTCCCCATCCTGCTGATCCAGGGAGGCCCCTCAAGCAGAAATTCACAGGGACCTGAGTGTAAGAGGATGGAGTTTGGGGGCCGCCAGAGAGGGTAGATGTTGATGGAGAACTCCCACAGAGCGGCATGGGTGGGAGCATGAGAAATTCTGCATAAAAACTCCCTTCAAGTCTTTGGATGACCCAGGAATTACAGTCTCTAAAGGGTCCAGGGGAAACGTTTTGGAAGGATGAACAAGCTGGTCAGAGATTTCAGCAGTTGCCCTCAGCAGCACAGACAGAAATTTAGATTCTAGTCCACCAAGTATTCCACTGAAATACTAGTGGGAGTAAAGATTACCTCAGGGCTGAGGGACTTGTCCTGAAAGAGCAAAATTGGAACAGCCCCTTAGTAACGACATTAAGCCTCCCCAAGTTAAGTTCAAAGGCATCGACCAGTCATTTAAGTGCCTGCTGAAGCAAACCCAGTATTCTTCAGAAGAGCTTAATAGTATCCCAAGGCTCTACAACATGCTATGGACAATATCCTGTAAACTATTAAAAGTTCTTGTTTTTTAACACGAAGGTAGAAAGTTATAAAACTTCCCTCTACATGTTTATTTGCATCTCATAATTTTTTGTGTGTTCTCTTTTCACTATCACTGTTTATGATGTTTTGCATGTTCTTTGTGATATCTTTTATAACTCACAGGTTATTAAGGAGAATGTGTTTAATTTCCAAATATTTGAGTATTTTCTAGAAATTGCATTATCCAATATGGTAGACACTGGCCATATATGGTTATTGAGCATTTGAAATATAGCTATACCTGGGAAACTTAACTTTTATTTCATAATTTGTTTTAATTTAAATTTAAACACTGAAGCACTGTAAAATATTTTACTATGAAACACAGTTCTGTTGTTTGGGTAGAAATACACTTCACTCTAACTGTCATATCACATATTATTGTTGTATTGCAATATAAACCTTGGGCACATTTACCATTTCTAATGTCAGAACACAAGCACATCATCACTGATTTAGTCAATGTCCAAAGACTGTTTCCCTTTGGACAATCTTCCTAATGAGTGTTGTGGTGCTTTTATGAATACTTTGTGTAGGCAGCATGGGTTACAGTGATAAAGAGCTGTGTTTAGTTGGTTATTAAATTTAAATCCTGATGATTATTTTACTTATAATAGATTCAGATTAAGTTTTAGTTAAACGTAAGCATGGAGAAAATTTAAGCTTCAAAATGAAGGCATGATATTGATGCAGAATGAATGGAGATGACAAAGCAGGTACTAAACCTGGGTCAGGAGAGAGAAAAAGAGCCTGGAGGATGTTTTACAACATTCACAATGAATGGTAATGGCAGTGTGCTGCAGTGCGGTGAAACCAAGAAAAAAGAAACAAAAAAAAGGTGTTAGATATCTTTTCAGTAAATACATACAGGGTTTGATAATAGGTTTCCTCTTAGCCATCAAAAACAGACTTGACAAAACTAGTAATGGAAGCCAGAACTGAATGGCCAACAAAAACACTCTGGACAGCATTTAACAGACTCAGGACTTGGAACTTGGAACTATAAAACAGCTTGGATTATTCGGTGGAAAAAAAATTCAATTGGAGAGATGATGAAAAATATTATTACTTTGGTTATGGAAAGTTTTCTTGCAAATTTTTAAAGAGAAAACTAAAAATTCTAACATATACAAAACATGAAAGACCTTTTACCAAATAATTGTCCAGAGAAGACCTTTACAATAATATCAAAGATCAATGGACTTAAAGTTTTAAAAATTGCAAGTCTTTTTCTTTAGAGCTATATGAGAAGTGTGACTTTAGACAAGATCGATGTAACACTTTGAGTATGTCTTTATTTTTTTAAGCCTTTCTTCTGTTTACTTTAGCAATGGATGGAAATGTGTGATTTTCTCTTGACATGAAAATATATTCAATGCATAGTGATCTTGCCTGATGGGTTTAGTATTTTCTGCCTAACTGATACAGAAACTTCTATATGACTCTCCTCCATCCTGTTTTAAAAGTCAGAAAAAAGAAGCAAACTGGGATGGAAATAGCTTATCCCCAGGGTAGTAATGTTTGAAGGCTTTCAAAGTATGTTGGTTTTTCTCTCCTTCCAACTGCATGTCTCCATTTTCTTCTTACAGCTCACAAAATGTAAGAGTCTTGTTGTTGTTAAGAGTTGTTCTTTGTAGGTTTTTTTTTCTTTTTTCTTTCCCCTGATGAAAGTCCTATCTCTC